AATGGAAGTGGACGTGAAGCAAAAGTGGGGACGGGAGGGGAATGTTTGCATGCTTAAAATATTTATGCCGCAAATTAACATGTGTTTTAAGCCTGCGATTCTTCAAATATTTATCCAGCATGAATATTTTGAAAACTGCATTAAGATTTGCCACTGGTGCTTTATTCATTAGGAGTGTTCAGCAGCCACAGACAGCAGCGCCTGCTAAATCTGTAATGCATCCATGCAGAGACAGCAGCTGGAGGATGTTGTCTGGGCTGTGAGAAAGAGCTTTCTGCTCCTACTTCCAAAGCAGGGAGCCTGGAATGAGTTCCTTACCCACATCGACTTCAGTCGTGACTGCAGATGTCACATTCAGCAGCACATGCGCCTGGTTTTTGACCCAAGCAAAAATAATCTGACGGGAGTGGGGTGAGACCAGCACTCCCATAGGCACTGGGAAAGGGGAGTTAGGGACTGGGGGAGGCAGACCCATGCAATCCTGGTTGCTGCTGTGGGTCTGGTGGAACTGTGGGAGCAAACCAGGCTCTGCCAAGCATGAAGGCAAGATGTTCCTTGTTGTATATGCCAGCCCTATGCACACAGGTTTTATAATGGGGAAGAGGAGGTGGTCCACCCCATAGTAGCTATCAGGGCTATTGCTATGGCTCTGATATCCAGCATTACAGCCTTCATTGGAGGGCACCAAAATCCTGCCCAGGTGCAGGGCAGAGCAGAATATGGGATTTCAGCTGCTCACACTCTTCCTGCTCTGTGCCCACTGCTGTTGCCCAGGGCTGGAGCTCAATGCTGGCTCCTAGAGCTGCTTTTCATGCAGCCTCCTTGCCAAAAAACCCTGAGCACACTGCGACTTGGAGGGAAAACTGCAGGACATGGAGACAAATGCCCGGTGCCGCTGGCACAGGGAACTCACTTTCCCCTGATTCCTTGACATTGCTACTGATACATGGCTTTACAGGCTTCACTGCCACTGCCCGGTTCCTGTTAAATTACTCCCAATTATGGCAAACGTTTAACTTCACAGTACTGCAACTCCATTTTGCATATCCGTTTTTTGTGAAGCTTCTCACCTCTGCTGCAATTTTGCTTCATAAAACCAGGAGAGCTTCCAGGAGCCTGAAGACTGCAAGTTGTTAATGGGACTGCAGCAGGACAGACTTCTCCCGTTACGATGCTGGGGGTCAGACTTCCAGCTGTGACTTTTATTTTCACGTATCCTTGTTCTGTGTCTGCAGTGGGGTGTGCCAGGCCTGTCCTTATAGGCAAATGTAAAGGGAAAATGTGGAGGGTGGGAGTCAGGCCCCTTATTTTCAGTTCTGTTTCCTTTCCCTTTTGAGCATGCTTGCATAATGAAGAGGCAAACCTGGCCAACAGCACCCAGCTAATTCAGATATGATTAATTCTCATTTTCCCTTTTTATTTTAAAGGTTGCTCTCTCCGATGAAGTGGAGAGCTTCATCACAGATGGATGGGAAAGCTGCCAGCCAGCCACATTTTTGAGGTAAAAGGGGAAAAGACATGGGAAAGTTTAGTGCTTTGCAGAAGTGACCTTTCCTGGTGATTTGTCACTTCCCAACACCATCTGCTGACTCGTCAGCTGCATCCATCATAACTATAAAAGAGATACTGAAAAAAGTCAATTAAAACAGGGACTGGTGTCAAATGGGCTTTGCACAAAACCTGTAGCGAAGGTGGGTAAGAAATAAACCAAGTCAACAACTATTGGTCATCCCCTTTTCATCAGCACACATAACCACGGTCCCAGGGAGAAAAACTATGCTCACCACTCCAGAAGTTTTATCTCCAAGCCTACTTTGCTGCCCAGCGATAAGCTGCAATAAATGCATGGGGATCTTAGCGACTGCCATGACTTTTAAGGAAGAATTTGGCCCAAATTGAGCAGTATTGATTGCAGTGGCAGCAATGAGGCCAATGTGATGCCCAGAGCTTGGTGTGTGCACACATCATATCAACCAGCTGCAACCAAAATAGGTGAGAAAAGACATTTTAGAGGCCTGGGCCATAGCTCTTTTCCTCCTGTCTCCAGCAAATGTTGCTCAATGCTCAAGCATCCAGGCAGAGCACCGCCGTGCTCCCCTGTCACAACGCCCAATGGAGCTGTTTGATGCAGGAGGCTTTCATTGCTTCCCCAGCTCATTTTTTTCTTTTGCATCTCCCCCACTTGAGGCTGCTGGCTCTTAGGATTCCTTGTGCAGAGCCGCCGATTTGCGAGCAGCACCTGGACCTGATCCCAAATCCTCCAGCATCAGCATCTGCCTGATGGTTTTGTGGGACCAAAGGCAACCCATGAGATCTTAGACAAATCTCTGTGCCTCATCTGTATGGAGGGAGGTGTTGGTGTACAGTTTTGTCCCTGAGGGGTGTTGGTGTGTTCAGGATTGTGAGATGCTGTTATTAAGGGAATGGGCCACAGGAGGACTCAGAATGGACAGATAAATCCCTCATACTGCCTTGGCATCTCCCCACTGCTCCACTCGTTTTATAAAGCTTTTGCTATAGCTTTAGCATGGATAGCTTTCTTTATTATATTAATATTTAGATCCTGCCAGGGTATTCATTGCCTTAAATCAGTGCTTTCACAATGCCAGAGAGTCAGACATCATTCTGCCTTGTGCTGATTTTAGTAGCTTTGTTGTTACTGTGATTTGTTAACATTACAGTACAAAGACAATTAAGAATGACATCATTTGAATGTGCCATAGCCACATCACAAAAGCTTTATCCTGGGGGGCTCACGATCTAAATAGACAAGTTAGGAGAGGGGAATTTCTCCAAATGGGGAAACAGAGGCAGAATGTGATCTGCTCTTAGGGCCCTTTGTAGCTGTGGGCCATATAGGGAATAGCTGCCACTAAAAGACAGCAGCCTGGGGAGACAGGGATGGGGATCACCCTGGAAACTAGAAACTCTTAAAAACCTGATGCAGATAAAGGTGCTGCCTATCTGGTGCACCCGTTTCCATGCATGCCAGGCAGCTGCTTTGTGGTGCTCGGGAGTGTGGGCACTGTGCAGGCATGTGATTGTGTGTGGGTATATAAGGGCAGGATCCCAGCTGGGTGTGACAAGGAACAAGAAGAGGTCTGACCTGCAGCATCCTGGGCAGTGCTCTCCAGGTGGGTGCGTGTGTGTTTCTGCTTCCATTTCTCAGCTCAGTGGGGTGAGCTGTGTGCTCTCACATAGGTGCTGGTGTTGGGTGTTGGCTTCAGCAGCTGCTGCTGAACATGAGAGAGTTCTGACAAGGAAGAGGAAATGAAATCAATGTTTAAGCAAGGGGAAAGGTGCTTTCTGCTCTTCTCCCATGGTGGGAGCATTGATTCTATCAACTCCTGCTCACTGTGAGCACCCACCAGGCACAGTGAAGCCCTTGGGGAGCTGCTTTGAACAGTCTGAACTGAAGTCACAGAGTTCCTACTGACAGTAACAGTTTGAATTTTTGGAAGACAGTGCATCAGCTGAGCTCCATCTTGTCACTGTTCTCACACCAGAACCAGGTGGATGTTCACCATCCTGCCTCCAAATAGGCACTTCACCCCAAGTTATGCAGCCATAAGGAGAGCTGGGCATTGGTTCACCCAGCCTCATGTGACAGCAGCACTTTGTTGTGTTGATTCTGAACTTGGGATCCTTCTGCTTTGTGCTTTCTCTTTGTAGCTGTGAAGCAAATTCACAAACAACAAGGTACGTATCTGCCTGGAGAGGCAGCGAGCTGATGATCTCAGGTCTGGAAGACATGTCCTGCTTACAAACTAAGGAAGGGACATGCATAAAAGATATTTTTTTGACTAGAGTAATGTGCGGGGGTGTTTCTCTGGGGGAAGAGTGAGAATCAATTCGCAGAGGGCTAGTCAATAAGAGATGAAGGAGGTGACTGAGTTTATCTCTTTGTATATGGCATATAGTATTTTATTGCAATCTTAGAATAAATGAAGCCGCACAAGAGATTGATGACACTGAGATAACACTGTGTTATCAGCACATATGCATATCAACACGTTGTATTACAAGGGGAAGAGCATGAGAAAATCCCCTTTTGATCACTGCAGCAACTCCTGGTTTGACAGCTTGGATGTTGCAGTGTGGGCAGGCAGGGAGGAGCTGCCCTTGTCTGGGTGCCACATCCAAACCCACTGCCATCACCCTCCCTGGCCTGGCACGCAGCGATGGATGGGACTGGAAGTGAGGCAGAGGGGAATACTTATTAACTTCCACTGCCTGCAGTTCAATACTAGCTGATATTTATGTGAAATCTAATTTAGGGGTCAAATTTGACCTAACGATGTCTTTTTAATGGTGTCCAAACAGAGAGGTTTTTGAAACTAATTAAGGATCAGGTTCCAATCAGGTAGAGTGGTTAAGCTGCGGGACCAGGCTTCATTAAATGCATCCAGAGAGAATATTTTAATATTTAAAGAGAGCATTTAATGTTTATATAAGTTCTCTTCCCATCTGAAGTCACTGTTAAATCACTTCAGAAGGTAGCTTTTAAAGCCCTTTATACTTGTCTTTTATGGAGCAAGGCTGGCAAACGCCCTTCGCAGCTCTCTTGGACCCAATGAGCCTTATTAAAAGATTGAGCCCATCAATGCAGGTTTTCAGGGGTGAGAGATATGAAAACAAAATTTAACAAAGCAGCTGTAGTACGTTCTTTCTCTCCTGCAGCATCACTCTCTCCCTTGCTGTCAGAGGGATTGACGGGAGTGTTTTGCTCTGGATGTATGCAGGTCTTAAACCACTACAGCTGGAGGGCTAAAGCTTGCAGAACAGAGGAGTCTTTAACAGTACTGAAGGGCTGGGCTTTCAGTCTCTGGAGATATTGCTCAAGAACAAATCTGTTTACAAGAAACGGTTTGAGAGAGAATTGTCAGTCAAGATGCTTCTATTCTCAGCTTAGGAGCATCTGGAAGAGTAAATATACCTTTAGTTAGCTGGTGGCTAAATTAGATTGCAACTGATGAAAAGCCAAAGGGATTTCTCATTAAATGGCCCTCTCTATTATTACCCTGGCATCCTCCTTCCTGTGTTGTTCAGACTCTTGCAATGGTTTCGAAGAAGGCGGCGGCCGTTTTGCTCCTGGTGTACGTGATGTCAGTGCTGGCAGAACGGGCTGAAGGCTTTGTGCCCTTCTTCACCCAGAGCGACATCCAGAAAATGCAGGTAATCCACGAGACAGGCACTGGACAATAACACAGAGGTTTCTTCCTCCTGAGCTCTGCCAGTGTACACCTTGCCACTGTCATTCCCATCATCCACCCCTTCTGATAGAACAGGAGATGTGACTTCAGCAGTCCCTCGCTCGTTCCAAAGCTGAGGGCTATGGGAGATGGCAGAGACAATTTGTAAGGTGTGAGACTAGAAAGGAAAATCCGGGACTCCTTTACATAAGAAACAGAAAAACGTATGTAGGATATCATCTGCTGGTAGCAGGTCTCGTTTTTCTTTCTTCCATGCTAGTGGCTGTAATTTCTGTAAAGGAGCTGCAGCCTCCCATCACCACATTGATGGGTCTTTTTGTTGTAACAAATAATTAACCATCCTCCAGATGGTTGTCACCTCTGGGATGTGCAGAGAGAATGTTTTCCTTTTGATGTGAAACTAATACTGTTGAAAGGTATCAGGCAGGCAGCCTCAGAGACTGCATCTTCTCCTTAAACACAGCCAACGGGAGCTTCCCCCGCACACTGCAATCCATTGATACAGGGGTGAAATCTTTTTTCCAATACCTATTTGCTTGCTGGATAGTGATTTCTTCTTGTGGGAAGTGCAGACATCCTTCAGCCTCCTTGAAGGAGAGGACACGTACCCACGCACAGTCCCCAGATGGTTCATACCTCGTTACCCTTTTAGCTATGCGTCTGCTGGTGATTGAGGGGCTTCCAGAGGTACGTGGGTGAAATCAGTCTTAGCTTTCTGAGCACACGTTCAAAACAAAGCAAGAGCATAGCAAGCAGTCAGCATGGCACTGAGCACAGACAATGATGCATTTTTTGTGTCCTGTCGTGTTGGTCTCATCCCAAAGCGACTTTATTTTGTTCTGTTCGGGTTAGGAAGAAAGGGAGGGTCCTGAAGCAAAGCTTAGCCCCATAAATGTGATAGGATGACCTTGCAGACTTCCAAGAAAGGCTGGCAATATGTAATGTATCCACAGAACTCTCAATTTGCAATGAGGGTGTGCAGGTTTTCATTAAACTTCAGTGCCACTGTGACAGAAGAGAACCAGAAGTGGGCCAGTGGAATAGCTCTGTAAGATCAGTAAATCTCTTCCTGCTGACAGTGTTGTCCTGCACAGATCAAAGCAGTCATCTAGTAGTGTCATGTTTGCTACAGATCACTGCCTGCAATCCTGTAACTCAGTCTTATGCTGAACACTGCAGCCCTTCCTGCATATCAGAATTACACTCCCCAAAGCCATGATGGCCACAGCTGATGGGTCTGTTCCCAGACACCCACCCAGGGAACCACGCTGCATTGGGTCCAGGCAGTAGCTAGACCACCAGCTCCTTGGGTTTTGTGTCCTGTCCAAGGCACATGGCATCACTGAGATGCCACAAAGCGTGTTTGGTGCTCACATGATGCTGTGTATCACTGCCTTGTTTGCTCTTTGCTGTGGGGTTGCAGGAAAAGGAGAGGATCAAAGGGCAGAAGAAATCCCTGACCTCTCTGCAGCAGCTGGAAGAGGAAGGCTTCTCTGAACAATCTGGTGCAGATAACGAGGGGATGAAGACTATCCAGGTATGTTGAACTGTGTGGCTCTAAGGATCCTATGAGGACATGCAGTGGGGACAAACAGCCCAAGAGATGTCCTGTGGGTCCTGGCTGCAGACAGGCACTTGGAGGTGCCACATGAGAAGACAGTGGGTGGTGGTATGGAGCTCACAGCCACGTAAAACAATATCACCTATTTCCTACCAGTTCTGCTAGGCAACCCAGCAAGATTTCATCAAAGAACAGTTTTACCTCCATGCCATAAATTATCTTAGACACTGAGCAGCCTGGACACCCCTCAGACCCACCTAGCCTCCACCTTCGCACAGGAAGATGGAAACAACATGAGGTCTTTCTTTGCCATTCAGGGAATGCCAGCCAACTGCAAGGCAGTAATTTGTAGCTCAGCAGGTCTGATTTTAACTTGTCACTCTTTCAGGCAGCTCTGTATCAGCTGTCTGGTGTCGTTCACCTCCTATCTCACAGCCCTCTGCACTGGCAGGATCTCACTTATAAACTGGGGCTCATACAGCTGCACCCCCCAAAGGCTCTATACAGAGCAGAAAATTGCCAATTTTAGGGATTTAAGTGCCAGTCTAAGCCCTCAAAGGCATGCTTACTTGGTTAGCTAAGTCTGAAAATTGTGCTTTTCCACTTGAATGCAGGGAGCTCTTTGTCCGGTCAGTGCAGCTGCTCCTGTGGTCAGCACAACTGGCCTCTGCCAAAAAAAAGGAGTGTGAAGGTCCAGCCCAAACCACAGGACAGGCAGAGAGGCCATGGAATTCGGCCAACATGCAGGTCAATGTGCAACTGTTCTCCCAAACATGGTGCACCAGCAGTCAATAATAGGATTTAAACAGCAAGGATTCACAGCTCAAAGCATTAAATAACTGGCACTTCCCAGTACCCAACGCTCATGCAGCCACGAGCTTTCCTGTGCCTCCAGCCATGACTGGAACAACTCTATTTACTGTGGGTACATCTGAGCCATGGCTCACAGCTGGTCAGGCTGCAGGCAGGGTGATGTCTCATCCTACACCTTTTCTTATGCAGGATGCTTCACCAGCATCAGTAAAGCTGATGTTTTGAAGGGTCAAGGTGTGAGATAGTGGAGGATTATAAGGTGTAGAAATGATTTTTCTTCTTTACAGTCTCTGCTGCCAGTAGGTGCCTTTATCTGTATCTCTGAGTCAGACTAGAGATGATCCAATATACGGAAACTCTGGCACTTTGAACAGTACACAATTGCATCGGCAGTAGATGGGGCTGACTCCAAAACACTGTTTTTTTTTTTTCCCTGATATAATGATCATCCTCTTCCTCTCACACCAACCCTAGACCTTCTACTGACGTGAGCAAAGTGGAGTTGAAGCACCCCTGACCTGCCTGCCCATGCTCTGCTCTGCTCCTCCTTCTGATGTTCTTCTTTCCTCTGCAGCTAGCTGTCCCTGTCAGGGCTGGGATGTGGCTCATACTGAGGCAGCTGGAAAAATACCAAGGTGTCCTGGAGAAACTGCTCACGGAGGTGTTACAGGACACCCCAAACGGTACTGGCAGGGGGTTGATTTCTGCCTTGGGAATTCTGCCTTTCTCTCCTCTCACCAGCTCATCATCATGGAGATATTTATATTCCTCAGAAGGGCTTTTGTGTCATGTTTGCTCACTTTACAGAGTCCTCAGTTACCCCACTCTCTCTCATGTACACACTTTTCTTCTGGGAAGGTTATATTCTCTCTTAGAGAGCTGTCTGTGTCCTAGAGCTGATGTTGACTGTTGGCAGCAATGCAACAATTTCCAGCAGCACTGCTTTCTACCTCCCCACTCCTCCTTCTCAAAAGTCCTCAGTCTTTAGGGTGCAATTTCCAGCAGTGCTTATAATGAAACCTGCTCAGGTGAGGCACCTCAGCACCTGCAGCTGTATATGAGCACCTTGATCCCTACACAGGGGCTTATCGTGAGTGAATTAGCTGCAACTAAAGGTGTTGAGTGCTAACAAATGCAGCCCTAGCATATTTTTTGCTCCTAGCATATGGGAATTGCAAAAAGAAAAATCCAGGGGCATGATGGATGCAGCTGCTCCAGATTTGGAGGGTAATGGAAGCGATCTTACCTGTGTTCTCTCCGGACCTTTGTCTGATCTGGGCTTAGATGCCCCCACAAGAAGGTCCTTTAATCTCTGTGGGAGCTGCTGTTCTGCTTTGTGCTGATTTCAGTTTGCCTCCTTGCTTTTTAGGTGAGGAGCTGAGGAGGAGGAAATGATATATAAAGCATAATGACAAATTTTAAGGACACTTGTTCTTTCCTCTCTTCTCTTTCAGCTGACTGATACCAGCAGCATCAGAGGAGAAAGCGATACAGCTTGCTGAAACTAAAAGGCTCCACTTATGTACACAAAATCTGTAAAAGAGATTAACAACAAAATCTGAGGTGAGATAATAAAATGCGCAGTATAATTAAACGAAGGATTTGTGCCTTTTTTCAGCCAGATGGCAAGCAGCAAGTGTGGGAAAGATAAGAAGGAGGGTTTCCAGTTCTAGAGAAATCATCGTCCTTCTGACAAGTGCAAAGCATGCTGAGGAGCCTGAGTAATTAATCTTTGCAAACTAATAGGTTTTAGGCCTCCCTTTTGGCAAGGAGAGAAACTGAGGCACAGTTACAGGGCTACTAAGCCACACTGGTGCCAGAAGGATAGGAGTGGGAGTGCTGGGAGCCTGGTGGGAGTCCTTACCCAGCTCTGCTCACAGGAGGTCACCCCCACACAGCCAGCAGAAAGCAGTTGTGCTCTTCCTACCTGCAGTCTTAACCCCCTCTTGCTCATCCAGGCTACATGAATCTGAACAACATCGCCAGGAACACCCATAGCTATGATGTGAACAGGACACAGTGTGAAGCAACACGGAGCTCCAACATGATTTCTGGCTCTCAAACAAATCTAGATGTGACATCGTAATTCCGCTTGAACATATTGCTCTCCATTTAACATACCTTTGGCTTATTTAAGAGCTGCTTCTCTATACTGGCAGCAGGAAATCTAACATATGTAAAGTAAGGACTGATGAGATCAATGGCATGTACTTGAATAGATCCCATTTCAATCCAATTTTATCCCCCTGATCTAACACAAATTCTGTTCTTACTGCGGCTCATTCAAATAGCTGTGTTTGTGCTAGAACAACACAGACACACTTCTACTTCCTCAGTGTGCTCTCTGCTGCAAGCCATCCCTTGGAGAAATGAAATTTCTCAATGTATAATGCAGCATCCAGCACAGAATGGATTCCAGTTTTAATATTTGATTTGAAGGCATGCTCCTATTGCACAGACGGATCAGCTCAGTGTAACTGGAAGTTTGCAGGGATTATTGCTGAGGCAGGTGGAGCTATGAAATCACTGTAAAAGAGTCTGAGCGGGTGGAAAATAATACATTCCATTAGGGTAAAAATGAAAGCAACTGCATGTCTTGCTGGGCTAGGAGCTCAGCCAGTGCAAATCAATCTGTGGTAGACTGATACCCATGGGAGGTCTGGCAGAGAAAGTGCAGGCAGAGCTGCACCACGCTTACCTTGTCCAGCAAGATCAGAGAGCAAGCTGTTGGCTTTGAAGGGGCATTTAGTATTTCTGAAAGACCCAGATCCTTACCCCAGGCTTAATTTTGCCTTGCCATAGGAAAACAAAGAGTTTCCACCTGCAGTGCAAACTGCAGAAGCTTCACTATAGGTCAGAGCCTTCTCTACTGCATTCCATTTTGCCCTTCTCTTTCACTGAAGAGAATTCTTGGCTGACCTGTGGCATCAAGGAAGGAACATTGCCTAGTGACAGTAAATAGGAAAGTAAACATGAGCCTTTGGGATTTGCTTCTTGGACCATTTCCCTCAAGAATGATGCTACAAGAGACTTCTATAAGCAGATCTATTCATGTGACTTTACTGGGATGTCTGCCTTTGCTCCTTCATTTTGACCCAGACAAGCGACTTCTGGACTGCAGCAGCATTGTCTGCTTTCAACTCAGTCCGTGGTTGTGTGCTCTTCCCAGTTGGCCCAGCTATAAATGAACTGTGGGATTCATGGCTGGTTGTGACAGCAACCATATGAAGCCTCTTTCTGGAACAATAACTGAACAGTCCAAATATGTACCAAGTAAAAAGGAACCTTCAGCTTTTGCAAGAAAACTCTCCAAGCTCAGAGGTTTGAGTAAAGGGAATGAAGCAGATATTCACCCAATCATCTCATCTCAGGCATGACTGCTGCAGTCAGGGCAACTTCTTTGGTTAACAAGCAGAAAGGGCTCTGAGTTACCAGATGCATGTGTACACCCAGTGCTCTAGCAGGCTGCTTTGGTGCAGCTTGTTCCGCAATACTGAAGTCCATGCCTGCAAGTAGGTGAGGAAGATCTTGTTTGGTCCAAAACCAGAGAAATAGTTTCATGGTAGGATGAGCTACTGAACAACTGAGGTAGAGAGGCAGGAGAGGAAGAGGAAGATGATAGAAAAGACTGAAAGTGGCACCAACTTTCTAACCTAATAAGAGGTTCAGCAGGCTGAGGATGTGACATATGATCAAGGGATAAGAATTGGTGTTCTTGGGTCACACCTGTGCAGCGGCTGTGAGTGACAGGGTGTTAAATCAGCACAGTCGGCTCTCAAGAAAGATTTGACACTTCCCCCAGTGACATATGCGGGACTGTCGGCCAAATGCCAGGGGGTAAGCAATGGGGGTGGGATGGCGGTTTCTCTAGCAGCCCCTCCGTCAGGGATGGGAAGGTGCATCTGCTGCCATGCTTTTTGGGGGATGTAGCATGCTCCCCTCTTCAGGCACCTTGTGCAGAGCTATTTCTACCCCTCTGCTTACACCAGTCCTGCCTTAGTACTTTAAGAAGGAGAAGCAGGCAGCACTGCACGCCTGCTCTTCCCATATGACAGCTGAGTCACTGCCAGCAGGCCTAAGGCAGCTTCCGGGCTAGCAGAAAAGGTGGAGGCTGTCCCCTCTTCGCTGTCCCATCTTCCCACAGCCATCTCAGGTTATTTACAGCCAAGATATTCCAGCCGTGGGCTGGGAACTGGCTTTCCACAGCCAAGGATCTCTGAGCATCACAGCCCATCTGTGGCATCAGCAGGGCTGTGCTCGCCTGGCAGCCTTTGCTGCTGCCCAGGGCTGTGTGGATGATGCCCCTTCTTCTGCACAAAGCAGAAGCTCTGCCATCAGCCTCAACATCAGCACTGTTGGCAAGCTAATGGGAACAAAAACACGCTTTTCCATGGGGCTACTGGGTTCTGTCATCTCTGAGAGGCTTTCTGCTTTCTTCTCCATAATCAGGTACCTTCAGGGAAGGCAGTGATGCTCTCTAAACTTGTCTTGCTAGGGAGGAAGTGAGAGAGGCAGTAGATTTCTCTCCATAATCTGTTCCAGCTGCCAACCTTCCTCCTGCAAAGGAATAATGGATTTTCTGCAGTCCTCCAGCCTTCAAACCTCACTCCCATGTTCTCTGCAATAAAGGTCATGCAATGGTGCTGCTGGGACAAACTCTGTCTTGGTGCAGCTTCCCTGACCTCCACAAGCACAAGAAGTTGAAAAGAGTCCTTTTTATTTATTCATTCCTTTTTCTTTCTTTCTTTTTTTTTTTCCTTTTTGTTGTTACTCATTTTCTCCTAAGCAAGAAGAGCCCGGGCAAGGCTTCTCCAAACTGTCTGAAAGCTGTGAGTTTACAGAAACTTCTACTAAGAGCATGTTCTACGTCTGTATTTACATTCAACACCACTCCAGACTATTAGCTGTCAGTCGTGCTTCCCAGATAGCGAGCAGGGCTTCGCACATTCACACCTCCATCAGAACTGAGCACGCCTGGCCTCTCCTAAGCGTACATTTGTTGTTGCTAACCAGATTAACAAATCTTGTTGCTCAGGAAGAGCGAGGAGAGCCCTGTCTGCTGCCCTGAGTGAAAAGGCCGTGACAGCAAAGTGAGCATGAAAAGAAGGAAAGGTGGAGCGAAGCCTGGGTGGTTTGCCTTGTGCTGAAGGCCATCGGTCCCCAAGGATGCCCTCGCTGCGGTTCTGGGTGACCACACGGAGCCCTGCGCAGCCCCACAGGGTCGGTATCGCCCGTCCATCACGGAGATGGCGATGCGCGCAGCCTGCATGCATCCATCACCACTTTAATTAAAGCCTGATATTAAGCCACAGTATTCCAGCCGCTTTCATTTCTTTCTTTACAAGTGGGAGAAGGGGGGGAAAAAAAGCAATTACTGTACATCACGGCCGTGCCAAAATAAATCTTCTAGCTGACATTTGGTTTTGCCTTTTTAGGCTGCGGGTCTGAAGATCCTTCCCACAGATCTCCCCAGGCCCAGCTCGATCCTGCCCAGCCCACAGTGCCATTCACTGGGCAGCAAGGAGGAAAATGCCTGTGAGGGCTGGCAGCTGGCAGGGAAAGGCACTTCTTTCTCCTCAAAAACGTCCTTAGAAGCACCAAAAATCACTTTAGCTTGGAGTGAGGAGAGCAGCTCGGCTCCCTGCTTGCTTCCGAGCGGTGTGGCTCCCTGCTGAGGCTGCTTTTGCACTTCACTTTCTACATTTCTCCCTCTCCTGAGGTGAGCAGCAGCTTGTGCTCAGAGCCGTACGCGCTGAGAGGGTTCTCGACCTCCCCAACATGGCGGAGCCACCGACCCTGCCGTCACAAGACGTCGGCGCATTCACTCGACCTTCCCAATATGGCGCCCACCCCGCACTTCCCGTATAAACATGGCAGCGGCCGGGCAGGCCGCGTGCGCCCTTCTCAAGATGGCCGCCAGAAGAGTGCTGCCGGCCCTCCTCAAGATGGCGGCCGCCCTTCCCCGCTGACAGAGTGCTTCCGGTTAGGCCTGGCGTCAGCGCCGCGGCCATGGCGGAGCTGACGGACGCGGAGCTCCGGAAGGAGC